TTGACGGTCCTGGAGGGGGAGAAATTGGACCAAACAAGTTCCGAATCCTGGAACTTTTGACGGTCATTGAGGAGGAGAAATTGGTACAAAAAAGTTCCGAATCCCGGAACTTTTGACGGACATGGAATGGAAGCAGTGGAGCACTGCTTTTGCCAATCAAGGTGGATCTGCCAGAGATAGAGATGTAGTGGCAAACTGATAGCTTGCCAAAGCGGAGGGTATCAATGGGGTTTGAAGGCGCTCTTAGTTGAATTATTGCAATTTAACGAGCAAACACGCACTTTATACTTTCAAATTGCTGATGATTTGACAGCCTGCAACATAAACAAGCCAAAAACGAGTAAGGTGCTAAAGTTATCAACGAAAATTTTCGGGGAGAATCGTGACATGCGAATAATGCGATGCTTAAATCCATTCCTTACATTTCGGCTCATTGTTTGTATTTCGAAAAGCGTCTAGTGAAATAATAAAAGGAGAGGAAACATGGGTTCATGTGCTAATTGGATATAAAAGGCTCTCAACCTGAAATGAAGGACTCATATACTCCCCTTCTGAATCGAAGCAGCCTCTACTGAAATGGTACCTTCCAGCTCTCTGAACTCGAGTTATCCACACGGATAAAGTATCATGAACACCCCTTAAATCCGAAAACCACCCCCTATCCTAATGCCCATTCTGACACCGTATGAACATTGAAACGTTGCCAAATTTGTTGTGACAAAATGTCCAATTTCGAAGATAGTCGTGAATATTTTTCTTTGCTATTTTTTCACAAATTAGATGCAAAATTTAAGATTATTAAAATTCTAAAGGGTATGTGCACGAATTAAAGAAAAAAGGGGGTTTTCATCTGTAGAAATTTGGCAACGTCAGAATGTTTCTATGAACTTTGTTTCTTCAGCACAGCAGCGTTGCGTTCCGTCATCGAGCCATTGTCGAAAGGCAAGATCAAGTCGAAAAATTTCGATACTGATCATTATTTGAACCTCTCCATTCAACCAGCCCTCATCCGCGGTGTTATTTCCACCTTCGCCCCTTTTCCGTCAGAGGCGGGTCCAGTAATTCGGCAACATCGGATCTCCTCCCCCCATTTAAACCTATGGTAAATATTCGATTTTTGTCCGAGCACCTGGTCCCTTCAAGAATCGATACATTTCCATAGGTTTAAGTGTAAAAAAACAACGTCGCCAAAACACCTTTTAAAAAGAATCCGTTCCCCCTGTTCTCCAGTGTTCTATCCTTTTAAATCCTAGCAGTACAGCCCGCCGCCCCTCGCCGCGGATGAAGCACTAAGTGCCTGGAAAGTCAAAACGCCTTCATTGCCGAGCGTATGCAATGCGGACATCCGTTGAGCCCGAATAGTTGCATCCAGGCGCCTTCGTCATACTTGTATATTTGAGCTGAGGACTTATGCATATCGACGGTTTAAGTCGGCAATCACATAACTCGGTTTGCGACGTCGCAGACTTCTTGTCATATTTGACTCTGAGAAATTTGACCGAGCAATTTCTTTCCGCAATTTACCAGATTTTGGCGTTTAGTCAGAAAAGGAATCAGTGGAATTTTCCGTCAGAAATGTTCTTAATCTCGCAACCCTGGAATGTAGGTACGTTCTTTCGTCCGGGAAACGATGATGTTATTTTAAACCTTTACCTTTCTCCAGTTTCCTTTTATTTTTTTTTTCTACTAGTGGAAAAAGCCTATCTACAATTCGGTGTAAACCCACAATCGTGCATGTTTCAGGCCCGGTCGAGATGCGTGCGAACCGCTCCTGCCGCCGTTCCAGAGAGGGATTCCGGAGGGTTGAAACAGGCGTTTCCGAGGGAGATTCCCGCTTTGATCGTATTTCGTATCGTTTCGCATTCCGCGTGGTATCTTACGCCCGTAGAGAATGGAGTTCTCTCGGCCCACTCGCATCTGCCGTGCCAAGCAAATACGACGTATGAACCTTCGGGTATTGCCAAAATTCATCCGGAATGTTATGTATATTTTAAGGGGAGGTTATGGTCGAAAATTTTTGTAGGGGGTCAAAACGTAAAAAATTCCCGAAAATCACGGAAAATTACCGTTTTATCGGAAAATAGGGGGATCTAAAATACCCTAACCTAATTTACTTCCTCGCTCCCATGGGGTAGAGGAAGTATTGTCATCCTACAAGAGGGAAAAAAATAGGTTGAAATTTCATCATTTCTAGGCGTTCTAAGGCCCCAGGGAGTCAAAATAACCATACTTGAAAAAATGTGTGTCCGTCCGTCAGGCGTCCCCCAAAACTGTGTACAGCGATATCTCAGAATCTATCTGTTCGATTTTATTCAAAATTTGCATAGAAGACCGTATCTATGGTCTCTTTTTTTCAAATGGGCCTGTTGCAAACTTCAGCAAAAACTCAAGGATTGAAGTTTGCAACAGCCCCATTTTTCACATAATTTTGTTCGAAAGATCTAAAATATGTGAAAATACCAGGGAAAAATATGCATAACTCTTTTCCGAGATACGTCTTTTGAGAAGGGAAATTTGGCGACATGCGAATGCTCATACGGCGTTCTTCCTTAGCCGGCATCATTGCCCTTGCCCGGTTTGCCTCCCGAGAATCCTGGATCTGACGGGGATGATTGCGATCGTGGCGCTTGCAGGGAGGGCATCCCTTTGAAAGCATCCCCCTCCCCCATCCCCCCGCGACCAGTACGCTTGTCATGTTGATGGTTCGGAAAACATGAGGGACGGAGGATGTCTACTCGGCTGCATCACACAAGAATGTGTGTAGTCCGTGGTGTCTGAAACGCGCGGAAAACCGGGAAACACAGGCATTCGTCGGGGAACGGATAATCTTCCGGAAAATCAGGAAGTTCACCAGGGAATCCGTCTTAAAACCGAAAGGTGATTCGATGGACGCCATATTTTGTGTCAGAACGGCATGCGATATATCGCGTCAATTGGTTCCATTTTTTTCAGCTACTCGTCATTTTTCTCCAATTTTAAGATCGCAATTCTGTTGTCAGGAGACTGAAGCACTCACTTACCAATTTTAACGGAGAAATTCAACGTAATAAAGGCGTGGTTTTTTCAGGGAGAAAACATCGCATTCGATACTGATCTCGAAACTGCACTCGAATGCGATATTTCCTCTCTAAAAAAAACCACGCCTTTATTACGTTGAATTTCTTTGTCAAAATTGGTAAGTGAATGCTTTGGTCTCCTAACTATAGAATTGCGATCTCAAAATTGGAGAAAAATTACGAGTAGCTGAAAAAATGGAACCAATTGATGCGATATATCGCATGCCGTCTGACACAAAATATGGCTTCTATCGAATCACTTTAACGCGGTCCAATTGGCAATATTGCCACAAGCCAACTTTGCAGGGCGAAAACCTTACGTTACATCCCGCCCATTTGAACCCACCTATGAAACTCCAAAACGTTTGTCTATTCCTTTCAACATACGGCTGAATACGGCGGAAATAACGGAAAGAAACTCACCGACTCATTCCCGGAGTTGGATGATGACTCTGTAGCGCTTTCCGAGGGTGCAGCGTTGCCATAATCGTGCACAAACCTGCCTATTTTACCCGGAGATTCGCGGGGTAATTCGATGATTAAAGACGGAACGGCAACGGTGGTCGGTTCGGAAGCTCTGCGATTGGCGTTTTGCGAAATGAGCCGAAACGCAGCCCATATCGCGAAAGTTGGCCTGACGACGAGGACGCGCGGACTTAATGGCTTCCTCGATTTTCCCAGTCGGTCGCCGAGTTTTCCGACCGGAAATGAACATGTCAACTTTCCTGCACGACGAGGTGACGGCTCCACGGTGACTCCGGCCGGATCGGAGGGAGCCTACAAGGTTGCCACAGTCGGGGAATACCGGGATTTTTCAGGGAATTTTTAAAAGTCAGGGAAAATCTGGACAGGGTAGCCACAGTCAGGTTATAACGGGATTTTTCAGGGAATTTTTAAGAGACGGGGAAAACCTGGACAGGGTTGCCACAGTCAGGGAATACCGGGATTTTTCGGGGAATTTTTAAAAGTCAGGGAAAACCTGGACAGGGTTGCCACAGTCAGGGAATACCGGGATTTTTCGGGGAATTTTTAAAAGTCAGAGGAAACGTGGACAGGGTTGCCACAGTCAGGGAATGTTGTTTTTTATAGGGGGATTTTTAAAAGTCAGGGAAAACCTGGGTAGGGTTGCTACAGTCAGGGCATACCGGGATTTCTCAGGGAATTCTTAAAAGTCAGGGGAAACCTGGACAGGGTTGCCACAGTCAGGGAATACCGGGAAATGTCAGGGAAAATGACGAAAATGTCAGGGAAAATGTGTTAAATCACCTTTGTTTGCTTTCTAGAATGGGTTTGAAGTTTCGAACAACAAATTTTGCCTGAAACCTGTTTTAAATTATGTACTCTTAACCATATGTCATATCTTTAGATGTCAGGAAATTTTATCAAAATAGGCCAGAGAAATCAGGGAAATGTCAGGGAATTTCATTTTCCAAATTCTGTGGCAATCCTTCCTGGAAATGTCAGGAGAAATTACGAAAACAGGGTGTCTAGCATCAGGATTTTCCCGATTCTATCAGGATTTGAGGTTAATCAGGATCTAATCTTGATTTAATCAGGATTTGAGGAAAAATCGGTCGTAAAATCAGGATTTGCGAAAAGTCGGCTGTCCGATCGGATTTTTTAATGTTTTCGCATACGTTTGTGCAGAAATTTTAATTTTTGTGATGTGTAACCAGATGTCTTTCTGAAAAAATGAAAGCAAGTTGGAAGAAACCAAGGGTTCACTATTGCGGTGGATGCCATCATGAACCGAATTTTCTAAACACGATATCTCGGTTAATATTGAACGCAGAGAGTTGCTGTCCAATCAGATCCTATTCTTTTTAGCTAGTTTATAAGAATCAAGCATTGTAACACGATTCTGTGGCCAACGCAACTGACCCATCGTGTTTTCACTCCTTTCACCGTGTTCTAATTTTCACCACCTTTCTTTTCTTTTTCCAGACCTGAAGCTTCAGGAACAGCTGCTGACAGAGCGGTTGGCAGAACTTCAAGTAAAGTTGGAGTACCTGGACGGGATGTTGCACAGCCAGGAGATAGATGTCCATGGAATGGAACAACAGGTAAGGAGTTACTTAATAAATGTTCAGGGAGAAGATTGATCAAAAGTGGAAATTTTAATATTATCTTTGGAACTGAATTACACACTCGTAATTGGACCGCGTTAATCAGAAAGGAACCAAGCCACATCGGCCATTTCCAAATTTAATTGGGCAATTTAATTTTTTCCATGGAAACGGTTGTGCGAATTTTCGTGCAAATTTAAGTGGATGTTGTGCATAGTGCAAAGCAAATTCCTTAAAATTGTCAAAGGAATTCGCACGAACGTTCTCGTGTGAAAAATTTAACTACCCAGTCAAATTTGCACGGAAAAAAAATTGCTAATTCAACAATTCAATTGCTAAAAACAGTGAGTGCAATGTTTCAACGCAGATTTTACAACAAAAAAATGCTACTTTAACCACCCCCGTGGTTAAATTAGTTTACAATGTGGTTAAAGTAGCATTTTCTTGTTGCAAAATCTGCGTTGAAACATTGCACTCACTGTTTTTAGCAATGGAATTGTTGAATCAGCAATTTTTTTTTCCCTGTGGCAATAGCTGATGTGCCTTTGTTCTTTTCTGCTAAACACGCGGTCTAACCGTACTTACAATGATGTGCTGAAACTCTCTTTCATTGGCTCTTGTCAAAAATCGAAATATTAGTGAAAATAGCTTCGTTGCACACAAGAGACACACTGCCGAACTAGCACAGGTTGAAATACATTTCAATTCCATGGTAAAATGATTGCTACTGTATCGAAAAGTTGTAAATCGACGGTGAATCTACTAGACCATGTATCTCGTTTGCGGTGTTTGAAAATCTCTGTTCCCGTTTCATTTCTTTGACGGAGAACAAATCAATTTCATTCCTCGAAGTTTTTACAGAGTTTTCGTTGCAAGGAGAAGAAAAATCATGGAAGTTTTCAAAAATTGACGTTGAGTGATTTTCCATGTAAAAAATGAAGTATGACAGGAAGCAGGGGCGTAGCTAGGAAATTTCTCGGGGGGGGGGGGGCATGGGACCACC